TGTGTGTGTGTGTGTGTACGGAGGAATATATAACGATGTATGTGCTGAAAGTTTCTGCAGTGTAAAGTCGAATGGACGGGTAAAATGAGAACATTTACAGGAGAGTGAGAGACAGATGGGCAAATAAGAACATCAGGGTTTCTGTCCTCGTCTGTTCTTATAAGTGTGTAGCTATAAAACAAACAGAAAAAAATAAACAATGTCCAGGAAGACTGAGGAAGAGGAATGGAGACAGTCTGACAAATAATCAGGATTCCTGTGAAAGTGAAATTGCCTCCCCTATTGGACATAAACGCTGCTACAACCAACATTTGTCGCCCCCCCTCTACCCCGATAAGGTTATCCCCACTCTAGTCCTCTCCCCCTCCTCTGATTCCCTCATGCACGCCCGCTGAGGTTTGATTTCAAATGGAAAAATTAATGGGAGAATAATAGCCTTGGGCCTTGCTCTCGTCCACGCACACATCTTAGTTGGTCTACAGGGGTACACAGAGAGGGAGAAAAATTTAGATCCATTCGCCTCACTTGGCTTGCTGTTCCATTGTGACACAGACACACACACACACACATACATACACAAGGGACATTGCCCCCCCACCCTTCTTTTACACCTTAGAGGGCTTAACTTTCAAATATTAGTACAGTGGCTGTGCGGATTTCAAATAAATAAATAAATGAGGAAGCAATGATTAGCAATTCTCCTGATAGTTATATCAGTGTGTTTCATATTAATTTTCACTTCCAGGAGAATATTTCTGCAGAAACAGTGATTCTGAGAACTTTCCAAGCTTTTAGAGGGGCTGAAACTGGTGCGAGGAGGGTTTTTTTTTTCACCAGTTTTTTGCAGCGATTTAAGGAGTCCTTGCTTGGATTTACACAAAACAGATCAAATAATGATTCTCCTCCTCCAATATATTGTATTTGATTTACAGTAACAAAGTACACGTGATGCTTGTAGGGACAAGAGTAAAGATAAACCATGTTATCCTTGCAGTTCTGAGTACCTCTGGCATAATATTGGCAGGAGTCAGGTTTTAAAGGGTATAAAAATAGATGCACGCACACACAAAATGTGCAAGTTTCACTTCAGCTGATACAGGGCCAAGTTGGTTACAGGCATAATTAATTCAAAGTTAAGTCTCATTGCTCTTAGGCTTCCAACACAAGTGTGTGTGTGTGTGTGTCGTGTGTCGTCGTGTGTGATGTGTGTGCTTGTGCGTGTGTATGTTGTGCGATGGTCGTGTGTGTTGCGTGTGTCGTTTCTGGCCTGAAGGTAGTTTTGGGTGTCTGGTTGTTAAAGGAGTCTTAAAAGCGGAAGGAGATGCGCTGTCTTTAGGAAACCCAGTATTTGATGTCGAAACCCATGCCACTTCCGTTCCATGACTCTCTTCATATATGTGAAGGCGAAGAAGTCGACCTCCCCGAGCGCTTGCCACAGGCTCCTTCAGGGGCAGAGAGGTGGTGCGCTCAGAAGGTTGCATTACCCGTAGAGCCACGGTGAACTAGAGGCTGAAATCTGGATGAGCTTTGGGACGGTGGCAGGATCCCGCTCTTCCTTCTCCTGACTTTTGAGGAATTTTATGGTGGAACAACTCCCAGTGCTCCTCGTTACACGCCCACACCTCATCAGATACTCTGCCTCAGCAAAACTAGAGACAGACAAGAGAGGCGATTTCCGCAGGCGATTTGAGAGTTCTTATCTCTTGCCACCCTTCTGTGTATCTACTTTAATATCACTGATATCGATCTCACTGTTCATGTTAGATATTCTCCGACTAAAGCACCATGGGTGATGATATTTTTGCAGACCATTAAGATTGGACCTGATCTGACTTTTATCTTTCATACACCATCCTTTCTTCTCTCTGGACCTAAAGCTATATTAAATGCAGTGAATTGTGCTTGTTTTTAGGAGTGAACAGAAATTAGCACTTAAAACAGGAAAGAAACCCATTGTATGGACCTGATCCAAAAGGAAGTAACTCCCAGGACTTGCTGGCCAAACAATTCAAGGCAGACTGACAGAGAGAGTTCCCTGTCTAAGGGTCAGCTACCCTACTCAGACTCAATAATGCTACCGCTCGATAGGTCCTAGTATATACTTTGCCGTTATCCTACCTATGTTTTATAGATCCCAGAGCCAACTCAGAGTGGCGAACTTTTTTAACTCTTGTTATTATGTATGTTAACGTCTGCACCCTTGTGTACTTGCAATACAATCTCGCTCCTCAGACAGCTTAACCTACGTGTATATAATAAGCCTTATCAATAATCTGATCAATCCTCGTATGTAGAGTATGCGAATCGGTAGCAATATTGTATGGTTGCTGGTGTGA